TGAAATAGGGAGTACAAGTAGGGTTTCGAGAGAAATGAGATGAGAAGGTTTGGATTTATTACAGATTTTTTTAAAGAAAAAATAATTTTTTTTTTTTTATTTTGGGAATTGGAGTAGTATTAGAGAGTGATCCTTAACATCTCAGTTCAAGTTTTGAGGGGGCCAAGGACCCACTTTACTGTTTTTAATTCTGCCTCCACTTACTACTAACTATACAAATGGTGGTATTAAAAAGGGCAAGGACCCCCCCCCCCCCAAATATACTTGGCTCCGCCCCTGTTTGCACTCTCCCTCCCCTAAAATTAGGGCTTTATTAAGACAAAACCCCACTTACAATGCACGTTATTGAAACTGCTGAGCTTAGAATTCATGAATTTGTCCAGTCTCAAGTTTGATTTTCTACACCATGATTGTATATTCCAGTTATGAATGGAATAATTCAGTTTGACAAATTTGCATTCATGGTGATTAGAGATGGGGTTCATACTAATATGGGATATATGTGAAACTATGAATGAACATTTAATTTGAACAAGAATGAGTTGATCTGTTATGCATGAGAATTGAGATTGACACCTGAACGTCAATATGGATAGATGATGGTTTTCTGCTTCTTTCTTTGATTTTATCCTTAAATTTCTTTTCTTTTTTTTTTTTGTATCATGATAATATGCCAAACGGATATTGTAATCTATAAGCAACACCATGACTGTATATTTCATTTATGGATGGAACTCCTGTATGTGTGCATGTGTCTGTGTATGGTCATTTTATTTCTCAGTGGTCTGAGCCTCTTGTGCATGCGTCTTGTTTGGAGGGGTCTGTTTACTCTTACTTTTAGGCACTGCTATGGTCAAGGATAATTGCTCAGTTATTCATAAAAAAAAAGGGATAATTGGTCAGCTGATGAGTTCTTGCTCCACATTTCTGAGTGAAGTTGTTATCAATGATGAAAGAGCTGAACTTGATCATATCTTTTTGTCATATTTATATTTCATATGTTTGTGCTATAAAAAGATTGGTCTGCTTTTGACTTGTCTTCTGTGATGATTCATATAACAAAATTAAGTGTGTACATCTTCCAATACTTTAGGCCCAGGATGCTTAACTAAGTTATGACCCAAGATTTTTAACAATTTTTTCTTCTGCATCATCCATTGAAGGCACCCAAATATCAGCAGTCAAAATGGAGCAATCTGCTTGGATATCTTAAAGGATCAATGGAGCCCAGCCCTCACACTAAAAACAGCACTTCTTTCTTTGCAAGCACTGCTTTCTGCCCCTGAACCTGATGATCCTCAAGATGCTGTGGTAGCCCAGCAGGTTCCGTTTATGTTACCCCCACTTAATGCCCTGTGTTCATTTTACATTTTGTGTGTGTTTTCATTTACTTGGGGCACTTCCAATCTTTTCTTACAAGTTTGTAACTGATGCTACAGTATCTTCGAGATTATCCAACCTTTGTTGGGACAGCACGCTATTGGACTGAAACTTTTGCCAAGAGGTCATCCATTGGAACTGAAGAAAAGGTATGCGAAAGATTCATCTTTACCTAGTTTTTTATTGCAGTATTGATGTTTTGTAACATGGTTTCATCCTCTCAACCGAAAAGCCTGAAAAGATTGCTCTTGGTGACAGATACAGAAGCTTGTGGAGATGGGTTTCCCTGAAGGTCTAGTGAGGACAACTTTAGAAGTTGTTGGTGGTGACGAAAACATGGCTCTTGAGAAACTTTGTTCTGGCTAAAGTGGTCTTGCAGTGGCATCCATCTTTACTCGTGTCAATTTCTATATTTCCTTGAGAACCTGGAATTCGGAAGAATTTCGATTTGGATATTTACATACTCAATAGAAGCCCCCTATCATTACTCTTACCGATCTTTTGTTTCTGATTACATCTCCCTTTGCCTCCGTGGCCGTCCTCTGGACTCTGGAGTCACCACATCCATATTGTCGTAATCTAATTAACAAGCCATTTCTGCACAGAACAGTACTGTTAATGGAGCTTAAACAAAAGACAAGGAAAAATATATTTAGATAGTGTATTTAACTTTGTAGCGAGTCTATTGCATTTGCTGCAGGCTGCAACATATCATTCTCATTTCTTCGTAAGGCTCTATTTGGAAGGAGTATAAATACTCGTGTAGAGTGCAAAACCTTGTGTTTTGTACTATTTTGTATGTATTTGTGCTGTACATATTTATATTCATATTCTTTCCAAACTGAGCCTAAGTAGGAATGCATTTTAGCATGTCTTGGCCTGATTCGACAGGTGCACCCATATTCGAATGTATATCTATGCTATTGTAAAGAATCGAATACTTGATTTTGGAGTAGGTTATTGAAGATAAATTTGATCACATGTTGCCAACTTATAAGTTATATCTTTATCATTAATTGTACATGTACATATTTGAATTGAATATTTTATTGATTCAAGCTTAAAAAAACTAATCAAACTTACTCTAAGATTTGATCTTGATTAGCATACAACTTGAATCAAGCCTTATCCAATTTGAGCCTGAAGTTTTTTTTTTATTATTAAAGTTCGATTTGATTGCACCCTCATAACCTATGGTTATTTGCTGTAGTACTTTTAAGTCTACAATCTAATTGGTAAAATGTTATAGCTCTACAATCTAAGGAGTAAAAGGTCATTGGGTTCTACGTTTTTATGTGCATAATAAAATCTTAAAGATCTCCAAAATAGTTATGTCAAATATGTATGATGTTTATTTTTTGGTTAAACTTAACTTCGATTATGCACATAAAAATGATGGAATTCATTATTGTCCTCATTTAAATAAGAAATACTATTAATGATGGATTAAGATGAAACCAACACGAAATTAACACAAAAAAAACAAAAATGAACGAAATAAACAAAATTATTTTTAATAATAATGTAGATAAAATACAAAATTTAAAACCAATTTGATAATGAATTCGTTTTCTTGTCTAGGTGGTGAGTCAACGGTCCAACCTTTTCGGATCAAATAAATTAACCCATGATGTCATAATTAAATAATAAATATTTAGAAATATAAAAACCATGTAGAAAACATTTGGATACATCTTTAATATTATATATTCATCATATTAATCAAATAAAGCATTTAAGTGTAAGAAATAAGAATTATTTTATTAATAATGAAAATGGAATACAAAATTTAAGATCAACCCAAAAGCAACATGGGTTTTCTATCTAGGTGGTGAGTCAGTGGTTCAACTATTTAGGCCAAATGGCCAACCCACAATGTCATAATTAAATAATAAAAGTTTAAAATAAATAAAAATACAATAAATTATAAAAAAAAAATTATAGAAAAATATGAACACATCTTCAATATTATATATTCATTGTATTAAAAAAATAAGTGATAAATAAAAAATATTTTTACTAATGATGGAAATGAAATACAAAAAATTAGGAAAAATATAATTAGCTAGTGTCCGACTTGTGACTCTACTAACTGGTTCAAAAGATTCAATTAGCTAGGTCATTATATTGTTGACCAAGTGAATGTTTTTGACAAGTAGTTTGATGGTAAATTGACCAAAAATCTTGATCAAGTGATGGGTCAATTAGTTTGACCAAACAATTTGACCATGAGGTAAAAACGCTGATAAGAAAAACTAATGTTCTAAAAATCGACTAAAACCTTATTTTCCTCTTAGTTGAACAAATCAGCTTTTGTTATAAATTAAATAATAAGAATAAAAATATAGAAAATATTATAAAATTTATGAAAAATAAATATGGATTGAATATTATATTTTCATTATATTAAAATATGTATGAAAAAACAAAAAAGATTGTTATTAATGATGGAAATGGTTAAAATACAAAAGAAAATGAAAACAATGTCCTCGTCAACCCAATATTCAATTTGATGATAGAAATGATCAAAATGATATATTGAGTATCAACCACATGGTAAATTTCTAAAAGTACATTAAATTGTCTTTAATATTCAAAAATGTAATTTTATGAAAATTTTGGAAAATTTATTATACTTGTGTAATTTTGAAAATTTATTTAAATTTTTATTAAATAATTTATTTTCTTTTTAAATGGTTTACTTACACAATTATACTAATTTATTTTATAATTTCTAATATAAACTAACCAATAATTTCCTTTTTCCAATATTATACTAATTTATCTTAATAATTTGTGTAATTATTTGTTCAAATTATAGTTTTCCATTTACCATAGTCATTTATCTTTAATAATTTTCAATAATTTGCAATGAAAATTACATAACTTTTCAATGGTTTTCCAAAATCAATCAAATGTAATAAATTTTCATAAAATTTCCAAAATGTTCTAATAAATTTTAATAATTATTTAATGCATTTTAAATATACTTTCAAATACTTTATAACTTTTAATTTCAAAAATGTTATTTTATGAAATATAGTTTTATGAAAATATTTGAAAAAAATATTACATTTTTCTAACTATGGGGATTTATTGATTTTTTTAAATTGTTATTAAATATATTTTTTTATTTGGTAGTTTACTAACAAAATTACACTAATTTATCTGTTATTTTTCAATATAAAATAATTAATAATTTCATTTTCGAACACTATAATATTTTGTTCCCCATTTGTATTTGGTTATTAATTATAATAATAACAATAACTAAAAGTTTATACTTTTTGATAATTGTTAAATATAATTCTCAATTTTATAGAAATTAGTTAAGGAGTTTTCAATTTCTATAAAATGTTGTTAATGAGTTAATTAGTAACAATATTTATTAATTCTTGGTAATTTACTAGCCATACTAATAAGAATATTTAATTTTTGGTAATTTATTAACTTTTGGTAATAACACTATTTAATACTCATTGAATATGGGTGGGATTAAATATTAATCGTATTTAACTATTTATTAATCAATATAAATATTTTAAATGAGGGAGAGCGGATATAGATTGGGAGATGCATTTTAGGAATTGATTAGGGAGTGGGGCAACATGATACTTTTCTATTGGTTTATATGAGATACCTTAGGAGAGAGATTATAGGAATATTTTTAGGCAGTTAGGTAATATGGCTTAATGGGAGTGGTGGGAATGGGAGAGGAGAGGAAGTCAAAGAGAATGTGGGGTGGGGATAATGGAGCAAGGAGAGGCATGGTGACGGGGACCTGTAATTTGTTAAGATAAAATTAAACAATAGACCCAAATCGATACAACCCAAGTTGGTGGGTTTTCGCTAATGGTCAATCGGTTTTGAGTGACAAACTGTGGACTTTACCAGATCGATTTGGTTGGCGAAACAGTCTACAACTGAGCTGAACCAATCATTGAACACTCCTAATTTCAACTAAATTTATAGTCTAATATCTAATAAATAACAATAGTTTAATCTCTAATAATTATTGAAAATATATAGCAAACGTACACAATCATTGAAAATAAGTTTATAATGAAAATATAAAAGATATATAATAAAAATACAATAATTACAAAAATATAATAAATACTGAAAATATACTAAATTAGTCAATAAATAGTGTAATCTTAAATAATAGTTTAATCTCTAGTAAGTATTAAT